CTCGGGGGGGAGCTGCTCTCCTTCCCCCTGCCGCTGTTCCCCCACCCCGGGGCGGCCAGACGGGCCCCAGCAGTTGGCGGGATGGGGCTGCTGCTTGACGGACACGCCGATTTCGGTTAAGACAAAAAAAATACAGTTTCAAAAGTGGCTGTGTGCTTTTTTTCCTAACAGAAGGTCCTTCTCTACCTTTCTCTTGAAAATTTGAGAGGATTTGTCGATTTCTGGTTCATTTGTGCCCTTTTCACTATGTAATGTTGACTCTGAATGTTACTGAAAACAATGGTCACTATAGGCCACACTATTTATGTCTGCTACTAATGAAATAATGTCAGAAGTGACTTGATTCTAGAATAGCTTTGTATGTATCATGATTCTATATCATGATTCTATATCACTTTACATAGCCTGAGCTGTAACAGGTGCCAGTTGCATTGCATTAGTGTTAAATACTGCAAAGTATGAATTTGCATGTGTAGTGCTTTTTCTTTTTTTTTCTTCTTGACTGTCTTTATATTTTGATTATAGATGACTTTCAAAACTTTTGTCTAGAGAAATTGATTGCAGCAATGTTTTTCTAGATCCATATGCTCAACTTCTTCTTGAGGCTATGAAGCAATCTGGTTGGTATGTAAACTAATTCAGTTTGTTCTGTGTAGTAACATCACTACTATATGGAGTTACTGGTCTTTTTCAAATTCTTCCCTATAACTTTGTTTGTTTGGGCCTTTCAGCACTGTCTTCAATGACCGGCACTTTTCTTGTGAAAACTGTGATGGCTGTGTCAGTGGAGGTTTTGATTCTGCCACATCTCAGGTAGGCACTGCACATTGTCCCCTTTCAAAGGACTACAATTATTTTTCGTGTTTCATTACTAGGATTAAATCTACTAATGCTGATGTCTGAATTAGTTAGGAAAGCAAGATAAATGAAAGATGTTCCATGGTATTGGAACTGTACACTGCAGAATGATGAGGCTGTTAATGTTGGAAAACATTGATCTAAAGAGTCTAAATGCTGTAGGTGATGTGTGCTGGGTCTCTGAGAAGTAAGGGAGATGTTGAAATTTGGGGAAAAGACTACCTCTGTCTTTTCTTCTGCAGATTGTTCTGTGTCAGAACAACATTCGCCACCAATCCCATATGAACCGGGTGGTCACACATGAATTGATTCATGCTTTTGATCACTGCCGTGCACATGTTGACTGGTTTAAAAACGTCAAACACTTAGCATGTTCAGAGGTAAGTTAAAATGCTTCTAATGTTGTCATTTTATTAATTACACCAGCTGTAATTAATATTATTAGGGATGCTTCATGTATAAGTAGTCATGGTGTTACGCAGACTCCATTTGGTTTAATCCTGTTAATACATTTTGTCCTTTCTGTCAAGTCAACGTAAACAGTTTCATTTAGAAAACAAATATTTAGTTTTCACAAATATTAATAAGTCAGTGTCATATTAAATAAAATGTGATCAATGTGAGTATAACCATAACAAGAAGTAGTTATTAACAAGTGAGAGTAGTTAGAGATGTGTCGTGGTGTTGTGGTTTAACCCCAGCCGGCCACTGAGCACCATGCAGCCGCTCACTCACCCCCCTTCTTCTTCTTTGCCGAGCCTTATACGCTGAGCATGACGTCATATGGTATGGAATAGCCCATTGACCAGCTGGGCCAGCCGTCCCGGCTACCCTCCCTCCCCGCCCCCC